CACACACACACACACACAGCCCCTCGCTTCTCTTCCTGTTAAAACAGTTCTTCTTTCCTCCTGTCACCAAGTGCTGCCAAGAGTCGTCTGATTATTTGTGTTTTCTCTAATTTGTTGGATCTTTGCCTTTCAATAAAGCATTTTGAGGAGATGCCAGCATGTATGTGTTCACATAAACGAATAGTCCTGAGCCGCCCTAATAAGATATAACAGTGTGGACAGATTCTTTCATTGTGTCTTTGTAGAGCTGAGACAGGAAGTCAGGAGGGTCAGTAAAGTATGTGAGGGTGGTGCAGGAGATGTGAGGACAGAGGTGAGGTGTGTGGTAGGAGTTACAGATGGGTTCAAGGTGGGGGTGGTGATTACATCAGGGATCAGCTCTTAGCTCCTCCTCCTTTGCAGTGGGGATGGACAGGCTCACAGGTGAGTCTCTGATGTTTGCAGATGATACTGTGATCTGTTGTGAGAGCAGGGAGCAGGTGGAGGAGAGCCTGGAGAGGTGGAGGTACGACATACGTGTGTGAATGAGAGGCAGACAGGTGGAGAGGTGAAGATGCCAGGCAGCAGGAAAGGAGGAAGACCTCAGAGAAGATTGGTGGAGGTAGTGAAGGCGACATGCAGAGAGTGGGTGTGGCAGAGGAGGACGCTGGGATAGGAGGCAGGTGATCCACTGTGGTGACTCCTAAAGGGAGCAGCTGAGAGAAGATCAACACAAAGAAAGTCTCCCATAAATACTCAGTGGTGTCTTTATTCCAGTGCTTTCTTTGTACAGTAGAAGACCTCAGATTTATACCCTGTATGTACATGATCACATTGTGGGAAGTGGGAGTCCTACCCAGTACGACACATTCAACACCAGTGCTCCTCACATGAAGCACGATTGGTTGGCTACATTCTCATCACGTCACAGCTGACCAATATCAAAATCTACAAAAGCTTTGAGCTTCTCTGAAGCTGCAGTTGGCAAAAAGTGTTTGAGCTTCAGCCGCTGGTTTCTGTCTCATCGCCGCCGTGACGTCTTCCTCTTCTTCGTGTGTGTTAAAAGGGGTTGATGCGGAGTCCCGTCCCCAGCGGGGAGAAGGGGTTGACCTTCGCCCACATTAAAGCATCGTTGAGTGAGATGGCTGATTTATTGTCCTCCAGCAAAAACACCGGACCCTGAGCAGAGCAGACAGAAACACGTCGGGTAATCAGAGCTCGTGGGGACGTCTAATGGGCGTGATGCTTTCCCCGACCATGACCTTACTGTAACCTGACACTAAAACCACACTTTGAGTCTCACAAATGCCTTCAGTGGGGTTTTGGTCCCACAAAGATGTTCAAACACACCTGTATTCTCTGCCCGGTGAAGCAGGACAGCTGGAGGTCTGAGTGACTCGGCAGGTTGGAGCCCGTCACGTAGTCAGCACCGCAGAGGAGCAACGCACCTGAGAGACGCAGGAAATGGTTTAATGTTGTCATTATCATTAACATGACGCTTCTTTCCTCGCCGTCTGAGCTGCAGCTGGTGACGCGGCGCTCTGAGGCGTGAGGACTGCTTACCTTTGTGGCTCGGCTGGATTCTCCTCTGCAGGCAGCTGAACTCGTCTCTTTGACAGTCTGACGGGGGGCTGTTGGAGACAGACGGACAGGAAGCACGTTTGCTGTGAGTGTGGACATGAGGACTGCGTGATAACAGCAGCATATTCTGCATA